TTTTAAGTCTTGAAAATAATTGAATGTGTGAGTGTATGCATGTTCATTTAGGTTATATAAGCTAAACCAATATTAATGTGATAAACTAGTTTTAAAACAAGTATTTGAGTTAACTGTTAACATATATTATTTGTTATCGATAAATAATATATTATGATAATGATCGATATATTATTATATATCGATAAATAATATACTAACAATGATCGATTATTATCAATATGAATATTTATCAAAGATCATCAGAGTCATTGATTAATATTGATATCTCAGAGAGATATTTATCGATTTTTACAGATATGGTGATGATTCTCAATGAATATCTTCCCAAAAAATTTCTTGATGATATTAATTTATTCTGTCAAATTATTACATAAAAGTATCCACATATTTTGAATATTCATTGCATTATACATTGCTTAAATCTTATTATCAAAGATTTAGTCAAACACAGTTTTGCTATTTGGATTTTGAATTGGTCAAATACTATTGTAGCTTATTTCAAAAAAAGTCATTTATCACAAAATCTTCTTGAGATAAAAATTCAAGATAAAAAAATCAAAGATGGAGGTCTTAAAACTTACTTGGAAATCTGATAGACAATAGCATATGAAATGCTTTCTTCAATTTATTATTTAGAAACATGTTTAAAAGAGGTAAGTTTTAATAAAAAATGAATTTTTAATTTTGCATTTTTAATTAATTATTTATTTTTAAGGTTCTTAATAAAAATCCTAATATAATTCAAAATAAAGCAGTTAAAAGCATCATTTTACACAAGCGAGGTTTTTTTCAAGATACTAATGATCTAGTAATGGTTATAAAACCAGTAAAAGAAATAATTATTTCTTTGAAAAGACAAAATACAAATATAGCAGATTGTTTTTTTGATCTTGCCCATCTAGATACTGCAATTAAAAAAATTCCAGAAGAAGATCACAAAATATTTTGATATCATTATATCTAAGTTTTTAATACATGATTTAAAGAATTTGATTTTGATGAGCATTTACTTGCTTATTTTCTATATCCAGAATATAAAGGTAAATATTAAATTTTATAAATTTTTAAAATTATTTAAGCTTATCATTTTTTATTAGGAATTAGAATTATATTAGGATAAATAGAACAAATTGAAACTGCCATGATCATTATCTGACAACAAATAATTAAAATCAAAGAAATTACCAAAATTCTAAAGCAAAATAATCATTCAAAAAATCAAGCTGGAAAAGTATTAATCATCCAATTACGCCAGTATCATGAAAAAAAACTACTGTATAACAGTTCTTATGTATCCAATTATGACACTCCTTTAACATGATGGAATAATTATAAAATGAAATCACTCTATCTTCAACAACTTGCCATTAAACTATTTTCAGCATCATCCTATATAGCAAGCTATGAGCGTGTTTGGTCTATTTATAGATGGATTCATAGAAAATGTCATAGTTGATTATTAGTAGAAAATTTAGAGACAATTATGAAAATTCACTCCTATTATCTTGCAAACAACAAGTCAGAACTTTTGTATTATGATCAAGATCATTTAACTGATAAAATTCATCAAATTTTGAAAATAGCTAATCTTTATGATAAAGAAGAAGATATTAACTTGGATCAGATTATACTAGATGTGAATTTGGAAAGATCAAATATAGATGATGATAGTAAGACATTATCAAAGTAATTTTTGAAATTGCAAGACATGATAAATTTAGATAACCCTACCCTAAATAATCCAGTTGATAATGAAAAAAAAGTGGAAAATCTACAAGAAGAAAATAATGAATTAGATAAATAGATGCTGGATTTTGAATAAGAGAAGGATTATGATCCTAAAACTGTTGCCAATCTTTTTGTAAATCAAGAATAGAATTCAAATTTAAATTAGATAATAAATTTATTATTGATTAATTTTATTTGATTATTAAAAGTATACTATAAAATTACAGTTACTATTCAGAATATATTGATTACAAACCAGTAATATGTAAATTATCTTTTACTCTTGATAAGTACTACAAAAAGTTCAGTGATGTAAGAATAAAAAGGTAAAAAAGGAAGAAAGCAAGATAATACCATAAATTTATTTTGCATATGAACTAACATGTGAATTTTATCTAATGCAGATCACACTCGTGATCTACTATTATTACATAAGAAAATAAGTAAAAAATCAGTTAGAAGTGATACACAAAAACATAAATGTGATATGATTGTCTTACTATATATATTTCAGTAGTTGGTATGAGTTTGGAGAATCAGAAATGGTTTGGGAAATTGGAAATAGTTTGGGAAATTGGAAATGATTTGAGAACAATATATCCAAAATCCAAAACCTTTTGGTCCAGCTTAAAAGAGTTTTGATACCCATGTATAATTACCATCTCATCCTACATATTATTTGTCTTATGTTAAAATAGATAAACTAAAGAAATAACTATTTGACTTACTTAGCAAAAATTTTATTTATTCAAGTCTTTTACCATTTGAAATACCTAGCTTATTTGTATATAAAAAGAAAGAAATTTTTCAACTTTATATAGATTATCATATCTTAAACAAAATTATAATTAAAAATTATTATTCTTTATCTCGTGTTAATAAATTAATTGATTACTTAGCTAAAGTATAATACTTTTCTAAATTAGATCTATTCTGAATATCATCAAATTAGAATCAAGAAGAAAGATATTTATAAAACTGTATTTAAGACAAGATATGATCACTATGAATTTCTTGTATTTTCTTTTAATCTTATTAATACATTCATAATTTTTATGATTCTTATGAATAATATTTTTCATGATTATTTAGATAAATTTATTATTATTTATCTTGATAATATTCTTGTATTTAGTAATATTAAAGAAAAATATCTTAATCATCTTTGTATTATTCTTTCTAAACTTTATAAATATAAACTTTATATTAAATTAAAGAAATGTAAACTCATCAAATAATATGTTGAATACTTAGATTATTTTATCTCAGATCAAGGAATCTCAGTAGATTAATACAAAATTATCATTATTTATGACTAGTCTCAATCAATAAATATTTCTAAACTTTGGTCATTCTTAGATCTCACTAGAAAATTTATCAAAGAATTTTCTGTAATCACTTCATCACTTACAATCTTACTTCATAAAGATTATGAGTATATTTGGAATAAACCTAAATAACAAGCATTTGATAACTTAAAATAATATTTAATCATCATATCTATCTTAATTTTGTCAAATTTTAAACTACTTTTTACAATAACTACTAATGTATTTGAATTTGCTATAAGAGCTATTCTTAGTCAAAATCATGGAAAAGAAGATTAATCTGTTATTTATGAATCATATAAATTATCACCTGCTAAGCAAAACTATCCTATACATGAAAAGAAACTTCTTACTATTATATATGCTATTTATTTTTGAAAATCATATTTGAAAGATCAACACTTTACTATTATCACTGATTATATATCTCTTAAGTATATCAAAATACAGCATAATCTCTCTAAACATCAAGCTTATTAGTTAGAAATTTTACAAGCTAATAATTTTATTATTAAATATAAACTGGAAAAAGAAAATATTATTACTAATACTTTATCTTATCTATCACAAGTGAATAATCTTACTATAATTTCTGCATAACTAATTAATAATGAAAAATTATAACAAGAATATAAGAATGATAATTATTTTAAGAAAATTTGAATAACTTTGCATAATTTTGAATCAGCTATATCAAAGCAATCATCAAGAATATATCATTTTGAGTTGAAGAGTAATAAAATTTATCTAAAGAATACAGATTGACTTGCTATATCCAAGAATAAAGCTTTAAGAACACAAATCTTGAAAAAACATCATGATATCTTTATCTCTGATTATCTAGAAATTGATAAAATTTATAAATAATTATAATAATACTATTATTAGCCAAAAATATCCAAGAATATTTGTAAATATATTCTCAGTTATAAAGAATACCAAAGAAATAAAAGTAATAATCAATTACCTACAGATCTTCTACAATTCTTGAAAATACCTAAATAGTGCTAGAAACAAATTACTTTAGATTTTATCATGCAATTATCTATAACTCATCAAGGATATAATATAAATTTTAGTTATTATAGATCATCTTATTAAATATGCTTATTTCATTCCTATATATACTATTATTACTACATCTGAAATTATCAAACTCTTTTTCAATATCTTTAAATTATATGGACTATCTCATATTATAATTTCAGATCATAATGCCAAATTTACTAGTTATTTTTGAAAATTATTATTTAAATAAATTAAAACTAAATTAGTTATATCAACTGCATTTCACACATAAACTGATAGATAAACTAAAAAAATGAATTATACTTTGAAAGAAATATTAAGAATCTATTTTACTTATAATCAAGATCACTAGGATGAATATCTTACTACTACTAAATTTGCATATAATAATTCTATACAAGCTTCTTCTAGTTATATATCTTTTAAGTTAGATTGTGATTAATATCTAATATATCTGCAATATACTTATCTCAGATAATAAAGTTATCACTGCTGATGAATTTGTTTAATATTAGAATAACATAATAAAAGATGTTAAAGATTTATTAATAAAAGCATAGGATCATTAATCTAAATATGCTAATCAATATCATCATTATCAAGAATTTAAAACTGAAAATCAAGTCTTACTTTCAACTTGCAATATTATTAATCTTGTGAATAAACAATACTCAAATAAAAAGCTCACATCTAAATATATTAGTTCTTTTACTATTCTTGAAATAATTTCATCTATTATGTATAAACTGAATTTATTTTCATATATAAAAATTCATCCTGTCTTTTATATTTCATTATTAAAATTATATAACTCTAATGATAATGAAGAATTTATTCATCTAATACTACCATTACCAATTATCATATCTGAAACTGATAAAGAAGAATTTGAAGTTAAAGCTATTCTAGATAAAAGAATTATTTGTAATAAATCATAATATTTAGTTAAATAACTAGATTACTCTCTTCATAATTCTATCTAGAAATCTTTGAAAAATTTTTATAATACTATAAAGCTCATGAAATCTTTTAAATTAAAGTATCAATAAGAATATTGATTCTTAAGAGAAAGATGATGTAACAAATTTAATTTTCTCTCACAGATCATTACTATTCTATATATTGTATTACACATGATATTGTATTACAAAAATCATCTCATAAAGTTATATAGTATACTTAAGCTATTTTAATTATAGATAGTTTTCTTAGTAAAATTTCTTTTTTTTCTTGTTTTATTAATTTAGTTAATATATTACTAAATTTATATATTTTATTTATAATCATTTATTTTTTTATTTATTTATTAATAAGTATCTTCTGAAGATACTATCATATAAGTATTATCTATTATTAATTTATTTATTTTATTATTAATTTTA